GTTTGAATTTGATGGAAAGTTGTAGAATTTCCTCATAACATTGAACTTAAACAGAGAACGTTCCCGCTGTGGGTTCAGCAGAGAACGATCCCGCTGTGGGTTCAGCAGAGAACGTTCCCGCTGTGGGTTCAGCAGAGAACGTTCCCGCCGTGGGTTCAGCAGAGAACGTTCCCGTTGTCGGTTCAGCAGAGAACGTTCCCGCCGTGGGTTCAGCAGAGAACGTTCCCGCTGTGGGTTCAACAGAGAACGTTCCCGCCGTGGGTTCAGCAGAGAACGTTCCCGCCGTGGGTTCAGCAGAGAACGTTCCCGCCGTGGGTTCAGCAGAGAACGTTCCCGCCGTGGGTTCAGCAGAGAACGTTCCCGCTGTGGGTTCAGCAGAGAACGTTCCCGCCGTGGGTTCAGCAGAGAACGTTCCCGCTGTGGGTTCAGCAGAGAACGTTCCCGCCGTGGGTTCAGCAGAGAACGTTCCCGCCGTGGGTTCAGCAGAGAACGTTCCTGCCGTGGGTTCAGCAGAGAACGTTCCCGCCGTGGGTTCAGCAGAGAACGTTCCCGCTGTCGGTTCAGCAGAGAACGTTCCCGCCGTGGGTTCAGCAGAGAACGTTCCCGCTGTCGGTTCAGCAGAGAACGTTCCCGCTGTGGGTTCAGCAGAGAACGTTCCCGCCGTGGGTTCAGCAGAGAACGTTCCGTTGTCGGTTCAGCAGAGAACGTTCCGCCGTGGGTTCAGCAGAGAACGTTCCCGCCGTGGGTTCAGCAGAGAACGTTCCCGCTGTGGGTTCAGCGGAGAACGTTCCCGCTGTGGGTTCAACAGAGAACGTTCCCGCTGTGGGTTCAGCAGAGAACGTTCCCGCCGTGGGTTCAGCAGAGAACGTTCCCGCCGTGGGTTCAGCAGAGAACGTTCCTGCCGTGGGTTCAGCAGAGAACGTTCCCGCCGTGGGTTCAGCAGAGAACGTTCCCGCTGTCGGTTCAGCAGAGAACGTTCCCGCCGTGGGTTCAGCAGAGAACGTTCCCGCTGTCGGTTCAGCAGAGAACGTTCCCGCTGTGGGTTCAGCAGAGAACGTTCCCGCCGTGGGTTCAGAGAACGTTCCCGTTGTCGGTTCAGCAGAGAACGTTCCCGCCGTGGGTTCAGCAGAGAAACGTTCCCGCCGTGGGTTCAGCAGAGAACGTTCCCGCCGTGGGTTCAGCAGAGAACGTTCCCGTTGTCGGTTCAGCAGAGAACGTTCCCGCCGTGGGTTCAGCAGAGAACGTTCCGCCGTGGGTTCAGCAGAGAACGTTCCCGTTGTCGGTTCAGCAGAGAACGTTCCCGCTGTGGGTTCAGCAGAGAACGTTCCCGCCGTGGGTTCAGCAGAGAAACGTTCCCGCCGTGGGTTCAGCAGAGAACGTTCCCGCTGTGGGTTCAGCAGAGAACGTTCCCGCCGTGGGTTCAGCAGAGAACGTTCCCGCTGTGGGTTCAGCAGAGAACGTTCCCGCCGTGGGTTCAGCAGAGAACGTTCCCGCTGTCGGTTCAGCAGAGAACGTTCCCGCCGTGGGTTCAGCAGAGAACGTTCCCGCCTTGGGTTCAGCAGAGAACGTTCCCGCCTTGGGTTCAGCAGAGAACGTTCCCGCCGTGGGTTCAGCAGAGCGGAAACGTTTCCGGGCGGAGTCAGACCTTCAGCATCTGGATCATTTATGAAGAATGGTTCATTGACGCACAAACACATTTTAAAGAACATCCTGGAGAACCTGACAGAGAAGAACTTTGAAAAGTTCCGGTCTGAACTGCTGGACCGGGGAGTAGTGAGGACGAACCAGGTGGAGAACAAAAACTTCCTGGTGGTGACAGATGTGATGGTTGAAGCTTACACCGAGAGGAGAGTCCTGCAGGAAGCAGAGGACATCCTGAGAGACACCAACTGCAAGCAGGCGGCGGACAAACTGGGTAAATATCTCAACTTCTGGGTCCACTGGTTCCGATCAGGTCAGCAGGAGAACCCGAACCGTTTAACATGTTTGAACGTTTTCTCTCTGAATGAAGTGATTTCACAGAGAGAAAGTGAAACCAGTGCGTCTCCACCTTCACCTTCACTGAAGCCTAAAAACGGATCAAAGTTTCAGTTTTTTCTGTTCTTTGTTGGGGGAACTGGGAACCAGTTCAGTTTACTTTGTTCCAGTTTGGATCTGGGTCACTGCTGACCCTCAATGCCATGTCGGTGCAGATCGAGCAAACAGGAAGGGGGAGGGGCCACTGTCAGCCTCTGACCTTATATGGAAACTTTCTGTGCATCTAGAAACAAATGAGAATATCTAACAATATAGAATTATAAATAATTAATTATCTCTCATTTCTGGATGATTTATCACTCAGTCGTTTGGAGGCTTCAATTCAAGATACTTGCAATGAATCACTGAATATCAAGTTATGATCAGTTTTGATGAGTCAAAGTGAATTTGAGATGTCTCTCTGTTCTGACTGTAGTCATAATTCTAATTCAAGATGAAAATGATGCCATAATTCAAGATATTTAAAATACTTTTTGCATAGTAAATACAGATAGCCAAACAAAACTGATTTCATGTTGAAAAGGCCTTAAATCTTTGTGTTAACAGTTTATTTATTATTGTATTATTATAGCAGCCGTTTCATCGTCTATGGAATCCCAGGCATCTGAATCAGAGCCAGTGAAATGAAGCAGCTCTAAACACTTTCTGTCCTTCACTGTGAGCTCTTCTTCAAAAGTCTAAAGAATCCAACATTTCAACGTCTGTAAATCTTTTTGCAGAATTATGTGAAAGTGAAAATTTATTTTAAATATTTCTTAAATTTTTTACACCCATTTAAGGAACCTCAAATGCTCAACTCACACTCAGGACATGGAAACTGTCCCGTCCCCTTAGTGGACATCTGTCCCCTTAGTGGACATCTGTCCCCTAGACCTGAGACTGACAGCAGACCGGACCGGAATGGACTAGGACCAGAACCAGACCGGACCAGAACCAGACCGGACCCAACAAAACAAGGAACCCAAGTGGCTTTAAATCCACAGGGAGGCGATCAGGGGAAGAAGCAGGTGGAACTAATGAAGGGCTGGACGGGACAACACCGAACCCAAACCCAAATCCCAGAACCTGCATCAACATTACAGATTTTCATCTCTAAAATATTTCTTTACTTGCGATAAACTGTTGAAAACAAACATTGTTTTCTATATTTGCAGCTGAAGAAGCCAAGAAAGCAGGTCTAGGAACAGCTGACCCTGACCCGGCTCCGGTTCCGGTTCCGGCTCCAGTTGCAGGTCGGCTCTACTTCTTTATTTCATTTAAATATGCAAAGCACTAGTAAAATTTCATCCAGACTCAAATATTCCCACCATCTTTGTTCAGTGATGTGCAGCCGCTGCTCTTCAGTCACAACTACAAAGTTTTTACTTTTTATCTGATTCTAGTTTTTCTACTCAGCATTCAAGCTGCTGGGATGTTTTAGCAGAAATCTGTCGGTTCAAAGCTGATACTTCAGCATGGACTGCAGTCTGACGGTGCAGGAAGTGAAAGGTGATGATCTGATGCTCAGTCACAGCCGGCAGAGGCCCAGTCATCACGGCTGCCAGGCTGCAGCAGGGCAGGACGCTCTACTGGTTCAGTCCGACCCAAAGCAGCTGGAGCAACAGGCCTGCAGGTAAAGCATGAAGCTCCCTGACCAACAGCGAGAAACATCAAGTTTCCACCAAGTTAGAAACGCCTGTGAGGTCGGCTGAGATGGATGGAGCCGAGATCCAGACGGACCTGATCGGGTCCAGACAGACGGTTCACCAAGCAGACATGATGGCAGGAATGACCTAAAGTGTCACCATTTGGCCACATGACTGAACAAAGGCTGCTGGGAAATGATGTTTTATAAGGAAACAGAGGCTTTGTGACATTAACCCTCCAGACTGAATTCCTCCTGTTGACGTGGATTTTGTCAGAAACTAATGTTGTTTTTATTGCTGCAGTTGTTTTTCCTCAACAGGCAGACGAAGCTTCAAATGCGTCTCTCAGTGATGGTGAGCTCTTCTGCCTTTTCCTGCTTAAACTCGTTGACTCATCACGTTAATACAAAAGAACAATGAGAAATGTGAAAGCAGCAGAGAGCAGATTATTTCCACATACCTTTATAAACGACCTGCTGCTGCTGCTGCGACAGAAACATTTCACTCCTCTGTGTAAAAGCCTGAAAATGTTTTCTATGCTGTCCATTCAAAATGACAAAGTGATTCTGTGACCAGAGAGCATTTCTGATGTTTTCTTTCAGACATTGACTTGCGGTAGAATCTGCACTGAAGGACATTCCAGGACCAAATGGTGGAGCTGGACCAGGACCCTGTGGACCGTCACAGTGCAGAGGATGTTCACTTTTAACCTGGAAACAATCACATGAGGACGAATTGTTGAACTTTAATAAAAAACTTTTTAACTTTGAATGCCTGTTTATTAAACATAAATGTCCCATAATGCCTTTTCTGTCTTCAGTTGGATATTATTTCCATTAGAACCTGTTTGATAAAGTCACAGTCTCTCTTTAGGCAGTTGCTAGATTAATTATCTAAAAGGTAATTATTTAAACATAGCTTTGTTAGCTTTCTTCTGGCTGAGACTCTTTGGCTTTAACGTCGATTTCTCTGATGTTTCCCATTAAAAAGCTTTCAGGCCTCATGTTGGACAGAAATGACTAAAAATGCATCAAAAGTTTATTTGATAATTTGCACTGAAAAAAATGGGAATAAAAATATGAATGGAGTTATTTGTGTGAAATGTTTCTGAAGTTCGTCCTGAATTTGTTTGGAAGTGGTTCCTGTTTGGATCATGAGCCGCTTCCAGACAGCGCCCCCAGCAGGTCATTCCTGGTATTTTCCTGAGAATCTCCTTGGTTTTCTCCACGGCCTGCAGGCAGAAGGTCTGCAGCATCAGATCCACCAGGTCTTCGGGTTCTGCGTTCTCCAGCTGAGCGGCTGTGATCCTCGGCGGCTCCTCCTCTCTGCTCTGCAGGCCGACGACTCAACGTCCTTCAGGAAAAACCGGAACCTTTTCAGTACCTGCTGCTTCAGATCTCTGATCACTTCCAGAATCTTCTCTCTGTCTGAGCGCAGGGAAGCCGCCTGGCGACATGGAAACACAGTTCAGGAAATGAAATCAGTTTCGTTGCATCTCTAATTAAATAACATCTGTATTTATTTTGTAGAGTGGGAGAGTTTTTGCCCTGACTGAGCAAAGAGCAATGAGGGAGACTCTGAGTAATTTAAAACCAGAGGAGAAGCAAAGGCAGAAAAATGAAAACAAAAGCAGTGGTCAGGAAATTTAATACAAACTCAACAAAACCAGAAGGTCTGGCAAACATTTATCCAAAAATGAAACCAGGATAATGACTCACTTTTTGCATGAGAAGAGACGGATGAGCATCCATGTGATGATTCACTGAGGACAAAACAAACAGAACCTGAACTATTAACAAATAATCACTTATTTTCCTTTAATGAGCCGTATAAAAGTCACCATTGTGTGAAAAAGTGACACCAGATGCTCCACCTGCAGCTGAAACGAGAAGAAATGTTTGATTCATTTCTTTCTGTCCTTTGTTGAATCTCCAGAATGTTGATTCATTCTTAACACTTAGAAATGAATCTAAAACCCAAAATTATCTGCAGAAATGAAGGATCTCGTCTCTTACCTTCTCCGTCCTCAGTTTTTTGGTATTCATCTGAAATTCAAACAGGGAAAATAAACTATGAAAGTGATGAATGAGAGTCAGTGTGAGTGTTTGAGCGACCTTTTCGAAGTGTGCACTTCCACACGGTGCTGGGCTGCTTCGCTGGTGAGAGTCTCATCTGGAAGTCTGTGTCTGGATTTTTAATGTACACTTCAAAGAAATTTGGCCTTTGGGGTCAAACCTGAGCTTTAGTTTCTGTTCACAGGGACGGAGGGAAGGATTGGATTTACTGAGTTAAAATGTCTGTGATATTGAAGATTTGAGTCTCATAATTCCCTCTCATTATCCCTGCACACATGATCCCAGAGAGCAGAAATCACAACACAGTAACAGAATCACAGTGACTGGTTCAAAACAGTGAAACATCTTTCTGCACTGAGTTAATGTAAATTAAAATAATGTAAGAACAATAAATATGGCTGGAGTTACATCACTTAGCAGCTTTACAGTGTTTTTTATTTTATTTCATTCTCTTATGAATGTTTTTGTATCTATGCAAGACTTTATAATTTCTTCAAATCTAATATAACATATGATGATCAGCTTATCAATGCATTCGATCAATAATGGTTTCCTGACAGCTTTGGCTTCATCTTCATTTAGTAAATTATGTGGAATCTGCTGTTTCTGTTTGAAGATTATTTTACGGTTCACAGACAAACTTAGATTTAACAAACAGACACACATTTTGAAGACCAGCTATTATGATCAATAAAGGATCAATGAAGGTTATTGGAGAACGGAGGATGTTTGGTTATATAACCTGTTAGAGCTGATTTTGCTCAGCTCCATCCTCCTGTCTGCAAGACATTGGCCTAATTAAAGTAAGATATTGATTGCTCATAAATATTTTATACTGAAACAGCAGAGCCAATGAGATCAGGTTGTAGCTGCTGCATCTTTCCACTGTTGGTCTGAAATGCAGGATTAATATCAACATGAACTGGACAGTATCATAGTAAACATACACATATGGAATCGTACCTCAGGACAAACTTCAGCCGTTTCCAGACCGGCTGTGAGGACGAAGGCATCAGACATTTTCAGAGGCACGTCTGGATCTGGCTTTCGGATGACTTTGTATCCGTAAGATTTTTCCCTTTGGTCCATTTCCTCCAAGCAAACACAATCAACAACACAAGTTGATCATTTATTTATCATAAAAATCAGGATAACACCTAAGATTATCTTAGACAAGCAGATTACCAGATACAGATTAAAACAGAATAATCTTAATTTCCATGTTTCTCAAACAGCTAAAAGTTGTGAATCTTCTAAGTGAGTCAGATGGATGAGAATGAGTTCATTATAAGCCAGAGAAATATTTAATATGACTCCAGACATATCAGCACGTTGTATGGATTACAGACTTCAACAATGTTATTTAAATTTACAAAGTGTTTGTCAGTAATTTGGGTTTAAAAATATGAATGTCTAATTTAATTCTGAAGATGCAAGAACCAGATGCGACCAGCAGGGGGAGCCCCTAACACTGTTTCACTCAGTTCAGCAGAAAGACACTGAAATGTTGAGTTCTGGCCAACAAACATGCAGAAAGCATTGAAGCTGCACTGGTCCAGGTCCAGGTGCAGGTCCAGGTGCAGGTGCAGGTCCAGGTGCAGGTGCAGGTGCAGGTCCAGGTCCAGGTCCAGGTGCAGGTCCAGGTGCAGGTGCAGGTGCAGGTGCAGGTCCAGGTCCAAGTCCAGGCTGTACCAGTGCAGCCTGGAGCTGGACTGGTTCTGGTCCAGGCTGCACTGGTCCAGGTCCTGGTCCAGGTCCAGGTGCAGGTGCAGGTGCAGGTCCAGGTCCAGGTCCAGGTGCAGGTGCAGGTGCAAGTCCAAGTCCAGGTGCAGGTCCAGGTCCAAGTCCAAGTCCAGGTGCAGGTCCAGGTCCAAGTCCAAGTCCAGGTGCAGGTCCAGGTCCAAGTCCAAGTCCAGGTGCAGGTCCAGGTCCAAGTCCAAGTCCAGGTGCAGGTCCAGGTCCAAGTCCAAGTCCAGGTGCAGGTCCAGGTCCAGGTCCAGGTCCAGGTCCAAGTCCAGGTGCAGGTCCAGGTGCAGGTGCAGGTGCAGGTGCAGGTCCAGGTCCAGGTGCAGGTCCAGGTGCAGGTGCAGGTGCAGGTGCAGGTCCAGGTCCAAGTCCAGGCTGTACCAGTGCAGCCTGGAGCTGGACTGGTTCTGGTCCAGGCTGCACTGGTCCAGGTCCTGGTCGAGGCTGTACCAGTGCAGCCTGGACCAGGTCCAGGTGCAGGTCCAGGTCCAGGTCTAGGTCCAGGTCCAGGTCCAGGTCCAGGTGCAGGTGCAGGTGCAGGTCCAGGTCCAGGTCCAGGTCCAGGTGCAGGTGCAGGTGCAGGTGCAGGTCCAGGTCCAGGTCCAGGTCCAGGTCCAGGTGCAGGTGCAGGTGCAGGTCCAGGTCCAGGCCCAGGTGCAGGTCCAGGTCCAGGTCCAGGTGCAGGTGCAGGTGCAGGTCCAGGTCCAAGTCCAGGCTGTACCAGTGCAGCCTGGAGCTGGACTGGTTCTGGTCCAGGCTGCACTGGTCCAGGTCCTGGTCGAGGCTGTACCAGTGCAGCCTGGACCAGGTCCAGGTGCAGGTCCAGGTCCAGGTCTAGGTCCAGGTCCAGGTCCAGGTCCAGGTGCAGGTCCAGTGCAGGTCCAGGTGCAGGTCCAGGTCCAGGTCCAGGTCCAGGTCCAGGTCCAGGTACAGGTCCAGTGCAGGTCCAGGTCCAGGTCCAGGTCCAGGTCCAGGTGCATGTCCAGTGCAGGTCCAGGTGCAGGTCCAGGTCCAGGTCCAGGTCCAGGTCCAGGTGCAGGTCCAGTGCAGGTCCAGGTCCAGGTCCAGGTGCAGGTCCAGTGCAGGTCCAGTGCAGGTCCAGGTCCAGGTCTAGGTCCAGGTCCAGGTCCAGGTCCAGGTGCAGGTCCAGGTCCAGGTCTAGGTCCAGGTCCAGGTCCAGGTCCAGGTCCAGGTGCAGGTCCAGTGCAGGTCCAGGTGCAGGTCCAGGTCCAGGTCCAGGTCCAGGTCCAGGTCCAGGTCCAGTGCAGGTCCAGTGCAGGTCCAGGTGCAGGTCCAGGTCCAGGTCCAGGTCCAGGTCCAGGTCCAGGTCCAGGTGCAGGTCCAGTGCAGGTCCAGGTGCAGGTCCAGGTCCAGGTCCAGGTCCAGGTCCAGGTCCAGGTACAGGTCCAGTGCAGGTCCAGGTCCAGGTCCAGGTCCAGGTCCAGGTGCAGGTCCAGGTCCAGGTCTAGGTCCAGGTCCAGGTCCAGGTCCAGGTGCAGGTCCAGTGCAGGTCCAGGTGCAGGTCCAGGTCCAGGTCCAGGTCCAGGTCCAGGTACAGGTCCAGTGCAGGTCCAGGTCCAGGTCCAGGTCCAGGTGCAGGTCCAGTGCAGGTCCAGGTGCAGGTCCAGGTCCAGGTCCAGGTCCAGGTCCAGGTCCAGGTGCAGGTCCAGTGCAGGTCCAGGTCCAGGTCCAGGTCCAGGTGCAGGTCCAGTGCAGGTCCAGGTCCAGGTCCAGGTCCAGGTGCAGGTCCAGTGCAGGTCCAGGTGCAGGTCCAGGTCCAGGTCCAGGTCCAGGTGCAGGTCCAAGTCCAGGTCCAGGTCCAGGTGCAGGTCCAGTGCAGGTCCAGGTCCAGGTCCAGTGCAGGTCCAGGTCCAGGTCCAGGTCCAGGTCCAGGTCCAGGTGCAGGTCCAGTGCAGGTCCAGGTCCAGGTCCAGGTTCAGGTCCAGGTCCAGGTCCAGGTCCAGGTCCAGGTCCAGGTGCAGGTCCTGTCCAGGTCCAGGCTGTACCAGTGCAGCCTGGACCTGGACTGGTTCTGGTTCAGGCTGGTGCTGCCATGTAAACAGACCCAAAGGAGAAAAGAGTTTCAGATCTCAGATAAACTGGTGACTCTGGGCTCGTCTTGCGTCCCGTTTAAGGACAGACGGCCTGGGAAAACTGAGGGTCTAAGTTTGTTTGTGCAGGACTCAGGAGTTCAGTGTCCATCATCCATCATTTGTAATGTTGAAATCAAAAGTGATAATGGCGCTGGTACAATGAATGCTAATGCTAGTATGTGTGCTACACACATAGAGTTGCTTTGGATGATAAATCATTTGGTGTTGACACATTGGCATTGGTACCACTCAAGGCTCGGACCGGCCCTGGAGAGGCAGGTCACCAAGCTCGGCTCTGCTTCAGCCAGAGTCCTGAACCAGGCAAAGTCCTCCAGGCTCAGCAGCTTCAGGGTTTCAACCAGGATCTGGCTCTCCTCCATCGTTCCAACCTGGAGAAGAAAACACCAGAAATTCACCATGAATG